ATTGAAACATTATAAAGATGAGAATGGCAAGGCAGCAATAAGTACATAATGCTACTGAACAGCAAGTTATGGGAGCCCCACCTCATACTCCTGCTTACTGCCTCTGCATGTGATTATTTTATTTGAACTTGTTTCTCTGAGCGTGTATATTAGGGTTTGCAATGAAACTAAATGACACAGGCAATCCTTAAAACGTACCTACAGCAGGTAATCTTACTGCTAGTTTTATGTTTGGACACTGACTTCTGTTCAGGAGACCACAAACCTTCAGCAAAACAAACAAAAAACACAGTGAACTACAAGCAAGCATAGATCAGCAATGAGTTTAGAAACATACATTGACAGAAAATTCACTTTGGATTTCAGAGGGATCAAAATCTCAGTCACTTCCAGAAGGATCATTTGAATAGACAGTATTCACCAACAAATGGAAATAAAATCCATCTAAATATAACAGAACAAGCATCTCTGGAAAAGTCATGATTATCTATGGCATATTACTACACAGCCCTTCGCAACTGGGTTGAGTCAAAAACATCTAATACTCCTTTGTTAGGTAGCAGTATCTTCAAACCTCATCTCTTCCCAATAAGAACTGTATTCATCCGTAGTTAGTTTCACTGATCTGTTTAATAGAATTTACTGGTTTAATGGAAAAGTAAGGAGAAGACATACCAAAATCGCTGGAAGAGCAGGATGCCAGCTGATGAGTAAGAGGATTGTACGAAACACACTGTATAGAGTCATTATGCCTAAAATAAAGTTACAATCACATTTCAATAAATCATTCTTAAATGCCTCATTTTCTAACTTTCAGCAAGATAGCCGAAAGGCTTACCAGATGCCAGAAATAATTAGATGAGCTTATATTACATCAAATTAATCTGCAATTACTGTAAACTAGATCAATAAATTTTTAAAAACAACCATCGTTAAATGGAGAATTTGGTGCGTTTCATCAAGATTAGCTAAAACTGTAGGTAGACAAGGGTTTGCGTAATGGGATCAAAGGCCATGGCCAAATTCCAAAGCAAGTGCAATTGTATATAACAACTTCAAAAATAATTACATGCACACAGGCAGAAAGAGATTTGAAGACATAGCTTGAGAGATGACAAATAAAGCCAAGAGGAAAGTCCCCATCCTTATCTTTAGTTTGGTCTTTGAACTAGAATTATATTAATTTGGTTTACTACACAAGATCAGAATCATTCTGTTTCATCCCCTCTCAACCTATACAGATATTTCCCAGCTCTCTGCCAGCCCTCTAAATTCATTACAACTTTATCTAGGCTTTGCACCCTCTCTCTTTCAAGCCTTTAATTACTTTTCCTACTTTTGAGATACTTTGTTCTTCTCCTCCTTCCCCTCTCTTCCCCTATTCCCGCTAGCCTTTTCTCTGACCCTAGTTAACCTTCTTCCTTTTCTAACGTCACTTATTCTTTGACTACAGAAATTCAAAACCAAAGCCTGCATTTGAGAGGCATGGAGTTGAAAGGGATCACTTACGTGTATTTCAAAATTCCTTCTAACTTTGAAGTCCAAATTATCACACTTTTATCTGCTGAGCCAGATGCAAACCGCTTGCCTAGGAATTAAACATAATTTAAGTCTCACACATTTAAGAATCACTTTCATTTCAAAGACTCAACCAAACAGAGAGCAAGAAGTTCTTGAACTTCACAAGGCTCAAGTGATAAAGGGTCTAATACTGCAAGTGTCTTTGCGTGGCCGCGCTTCTCCATCTACATGAAATTCCTTGTTTCCTCTCTCCGTCAGAGCGTTCACTGCCGAGCCCTGCAGTGCAAGCTGCCAGTCACAGTTAAGACCCACACCCCCAGCCCCAGGAGAAACGGGCATCGTAACCACGCTCGCACGTCGGGAATGCCGCTGCTCGACAGGAAGCCCCCACGGAGCGAGAGGCAGGGGCAGGGAAAGACCGAGAAGCTGAGGGGGCTCTGCAGCGCCTGCAGCTGCGGGCCGGGCAACCGGGGAGCTCCGCGAGCTTGCGTTCACGTAACGGGCAACCATAACTCACAGGCATGAAAACGCAGCACTGCCTCTGCACGCAGCATTGCAATGCAGTTCAAACCCCGATATGAAGAGATCACAAATGTTCAACATGCAACCACTGAAACCACCTGGATTACATTATTTATCAGTTTTCAATAACAAAGGTTAAGAGATTATGTGCTCTACGAATTAGAACACAAAGACCCCCAAAATGATATTTACCATCTTTAGCATAAGCCACACAGTAAACAGTGTCCTTATGTCCTTTCAAAGGCTGGATTAGGGTTCCATCAGAAGTATCATATACCTATATAAACAAGAATGAATGTAAAACTTCAATCCTCCAATGAGTTTATAGAAGCAAGATCTAAAATTGTAAAACAAACAAAAACACATACAAGATTATGTACTTGTTTTTGTGCTTGCTTCTCTGCATACAAGCTACATTATTATTCAGGTAGGACAAGACAAGAGAGAACAATTTAAAATGTAAGAGCACCCTTCCTCACAGTAACGCTTCTCATTCAGTGCACAGAGCAAACGACTACTGATCGCTAGCAAATTACACACGCAGAAGGCAGGTCCAGACAGCATGTCTGACCAGGCTGCTTTACAGCAATGCTCTTTTTCCTACTTGGGACTATTTACCAGCCCAGCGCGCTATGGACTGAACCAGCCCCGCTGCGAGCAGCGCAGCTGATGCCGCGGGCTCCCCCGCGGCTCGCAGCACGGCCCCGGGGGCTGCAGGCAGCTCTGCCTCCATCTTCGCCCCGCGCAGGGACCGCACGTGGGGTGTCTCCCCTCCTTCCACAGGGGTTTCCACAAAACTTGTAACAACGCGGGATTTGTATCACTGCCACTGTGGGAAGCTTGGCTGAGGGTTAGTGGGTTCAAAACCTCTGTGTGAGGTAGGAAGGACACGATAAGGCAAATAGCATAAAGCTCTTTATGCCTGGAAATAAAGCTCAGAACGAAATTGGTAAGAAATGCCAAACAGTGCAGAAACATTTCGCAGTCAGACCATGTGAAAACACCGAGGCGCGAGGCGGAGGCCATGAGGGGATCTTGTAGGATCACACACGCAGACACCGAACGCCGAGGGAAGCACCCCAGAGTGGAGCGCGTGGGAAGCAGGTGTCCTACCAGGAGCCTATTCCCAGCCGCAATGATCAGCTGCGTCCCGTCCGGCTTGAACGCAAGGTCGTAGATACTGCGGAAACAAAACACACGGAGCCGGGCCGCGTTAGCAGGCAGGGCCCGGCACGTGCAACGCTCCGCGGGGCCGGCCCCGGCCCGCAGGCCGCGCTCACCCCTGCTCGGCCTTGTCGCGCCAGGTGAGCG